CAGCCTAGGCAGTACTGCAAGACCTGGTATCAAAAAAATTCACAATATGTCTACTCAACTTTTCAATGTCTAAAGATAATATCTTTAGCCACATCTGGGATAATGTCAGAACCTTGGAATACATTAATTTTTAAATTTCATATTATCATCTCTTATTTATATATAATATACATATTATACCCTGTGTTATATATGTATATATATAGTTGCCATATGTTTTTATTTGATGAGGTTTCATTAACTCCTGCAGGATATTGTGATTGCTGTTTATTATGTAGTCAAAGTTCATTTGATTTTCCAATATATATAGTACCACCCTTGCATCTGGGAAACTGGGGCCTGGGAAACTGTGAACTCTGGATTGTGTCTCTTAATTTAGAGATTCTCTATCTGGCCCTTCTCTAGTTGTACCCCTCTCCAAAGTGTAAGAACTCTGGCACCAAGAACCTACCTGGAGCCTGCCTCATTTCTTCCCCAACTTTCAAGATTTTCTTGAAAATCTTTGGCTTTCTTCAGTTTAATTTTGACATGTCTAGGTGTAGATATCTTTTTGTTTATTGTAATTGACATCCTTTGGGTTTCTTGAATCTGTGGGTTGATTTTTTTTTTTACCAGTTTGGGGTCGTTTAGTCATCATTTCAAGCATTGATTCTGCCTCATCAGCACCTCTTTGAATTTTATTTCAATATATGTTAGACCTTGTTTTTTTTCCCTATGTATTTGTACTTTTCTTTCATATTTCACATCTAAAACTCAGCTTTACGTCATTGGCTCATACTATCAGGGATAAGTAGCTTCACTGCTTATATTACCCCTTGGCTTTATGCTTTATCTTCAACTTTGGCCTGATAATTCCTTTCTATCTTGTCACCTCTGTGACACGTTTAAGAAAATGCTTCTAATATTTTATTCATGAGTTTTAATTGTCTTCAATCAAAAATTTGGTCTTAATAACTTAACCTATTCCTAAAGCACTGAAAAAATTGTGGGTTTTTTGAGATGTTTGTTATATGAAGGTCTTTAATCAGAATTGAAATAGAAATTTAATTGTTTTATTTTAATTATGTTTCCTAGTCCAGTTTTCTCTAATTTCTTTGACAGTTCAACAGTCTAAGTCAATTGCTTTTTCACTTTTTGTTCTTGCTTTATGTATACTGAGAACCTCTTTAACCTCTCTCTTTTTTAATTTCATCTTGTGCTAGTCTTATTTGCCAACACTCATGACTCAGTGTAAATATCTCAAAGGCATGGAATTTTCTAGAAGATGTAGGGAATAATTACTTTACCTGTTTCTACTCAGGTCAAAAAATTAAATCATTGCATACATCATAGCAGCTATAGTATAATTAGACTATGCCAGTTAACCAGAGATAACAGAGAATAAGCCTCACTCAGACCTGCTGTATGGTAGGATCAAGCTATTCCCTCCCTTAAAATTTTATTCTTTCATTATTCTATATGTACATAAAGATAGATTTATCATTTGTTGTCATTAAAAGTTGCATTGATGATACATATTTTAAAAATGATAGTGATACTGTTTAATGAAATTGAAGAGATCTAGAACAATTTCTTGGAGTAGTTTAAGTAGGGCCATGACTTACAGTCATGCAGTTTGTGTACTGTATAACCCAAGAGGTTGCCATTTACATCAGCATCCACAACTAAAAGGAGGCACTGGACTAAGATGAATTTGGGATCATATTTAGTGAGTGATTGTCTAGTGTCAGGGTTTAGATTTATTGCTTAAATACTAATAAGTAGTTTTCTATATAATTGATGCTATCTTACTAGCTATCTTTAGCATCTTAAATTTTTGCTAAGAACTGATAGCTATTCAGATAATCTTTGTTGATGACCTAGATAGCATTGAGACAGCATGAATTGTTCCAGAAGATGAGGAAATATCCCAGCTGAAAAAAATTGAAATTACCTTTATGAGCAAGAGTTTCAAAATCTATAGATTTCTCACATTGATCAGTGAGCCTGGAGATCTTGTGACCTTAGAGGCCATTTTCAGTTGAAGAAGAAGGCATTATTCAAAGCTACATTATTTCAAATACCATAGGACTTCTATTAGCAAATATATTTTCAACCTTGAGGAAACAGGTCTCAGATATGACAACTTAAAGCAGTCTTTTCGGTGGCACTCTAGTAAGTTTTTGATCACATGCTCTTTTCAAGATGATTGCTGGGATTATTCTTCATTCTGGCCTTTCCTACCCTTATTTTGGAGTTGAGTACATGGTCTTTTAGGTGTAATGGTATGATTTATTTGATCAGAAGCCTAAATCACAGCATATAACAAGTCACTGTGTACACTTATTTAACTTTGACCATATCTTGTCTACCACATAGGCCCTGCCCTGGGAGTTGGCAAAGAATGAGTTGTAGAAATTTTTGAAATTGAATAATAGCATTTTGGATTTGTTGATTCATTTCGCCTGATGAACTAAAAATTTTGCTAACAAGGAGATAAATTCTTAGGAGCCTGGGATTATGGCCTGGCAAAAGTAGGGGTTTGCCAAATAGCCAATGACCTTGACCCATCTCCCAGAGCATGTTGGGTCTCTCTGTTCATCTGTAGAATGAGGGTATGAAGCTAGGTGAATTCTGATTTCCTTTCCAGCTATACACTGATCCGATTCTCTTCCCAGAGCTAAAATTAGATACTTGTGTATTAAATCTCCCAAGTCAACTCTACAATTTCAGGTGGAGTAGAGCCTAAAACATTTGTATAGAACAGAGTTTTGTAGAGGTTTAGCTTGCTAAAATCTGGCTGTTTTAAAAAGGGCAGTGCTTTTAGAGGTGGAACAGAGTTGAAAGACTTAAAACATATATCAATTTTTAAACTTCTTATCAAAACATTTTATGTTATTTTTATTTTATCATTTTTACATTTACTTACATGTGTATACATTGTTTGGGTCACCTCACCTCCTCCCCTTATCGAAACTTCTGATGGCACACACACACACACGTACAACTTAATGAATTTCACAAACTGAACACACCCATGTAACCAGCACAGAGAATATGTGTACATCAGAAGTCTCCCTGCCTTATGTCCATTTCTATGATTATTACAACTCTCTCCCTTACAAGAAAAACCACTTTCCTGATTCTGCATTCCGTTGATTAGTTTTGCCTGCTTTTGTTTCTTGTATGAATGGAATCCATGTACAGTATGTGCTGTCTTATATGTGGTTTCCTTGACTAACATTATACAACTGAGATTCATTAGTACTGTTGTGTGCAACTGTAGCAGACATAATTTTCTCCAGAGAGACATTGATACATCTTTGCACAACTGTATTAACATTCTTGTTTGAGAAGATCAATAATATGCCATTATGAACAGAAAGAGGATAAAAGTGCACAAAAGAAGGGATAAATCAGGGACATTTTATAATTTATTAATATATTGTATAAATATATAATGTAATTTATTAATTTAAAAGATGGAAGCCCCTTTTTGAAAGATAAGGATTTACCTCCTGGTCTAAGACGTCACCATGCCATGTCTAAGAAAGATTCACCATTCCTGGCAGTGCTTATGGCTACTGAATGACAGGATTCTTGAACCTGAGAAACCGTGGGTACTTGTCTCCTTTCATCCCTCATCACCCTAATTCTTGCACTACCTGACCCTGAATATACTAGGTACAAAACAGACATTTGCTGAATGAGTGAATGAAGAGTACAGCTAACACTTATAATGCTTTCACAATGTCAGCCACTGGACAAAGATCTTTTGTTTACACAGCATAGCAATACTATCAGGTTAACACTGTTATCTCAATCTGCTAGATGGGGAAATCGGTCCATTGGGAATTGCTTGTCTGAAGTCACTCACAAAAACAAGTAAATAAAAATGGAAGCAGGGAAAGAGCTGGTTCCATGGGTGTGTTCCATTCATGAAATTCATTAAATTATACATGCATATGTGTATATCATTGCAAATTTCAATAAAAAGTTTAAAAATTAATACCAATACACATAAAATATCAAGAGAAGAAATTAAAAACAAAAATATTTATAAATAGTTATTGTCAGTATTGAAAGGCTGGTTAAAAACTATGCTAAGAATCAGAAGAGGTCACAGAATTTTCTCAATAATCTTTCCTATTTATGCCTTGTACTGTAAAAGGACAGGTGCATTGCATTTCTTCTTTATTGCATCTTACTTTATTATCATTGCTTGATTGCATTTTTAGTTGTCAATGAGTCAACATTTTCTACAAAGCAAAGTTTACATCAGAACTGAATAGAAAAGCCGACTGCCCAACATGGGGTTATGTTGGCCAACTCCTCCACATCAGTAGAACAGGCCCAATCTTAACATTTGCGGTTCTCACTGTGTGCTGAGAATTCCCCAGCCTGGGCCCTACCCCCACCACACAGTTAATGCCTACTCACATAGTTAACTCCTACATCTCATCTGGTACATATTTTCCCTCAGTAAAGATTGGTTAAATGAAAATACAAATGGTAAATGAGGTTTTTAAACTCAATTTTTATATAAACTTTGCAATGATAATAAAATAAGATGCAATGATAATAAAATAAGATACAATGAAGAGGAAATGTTATGTCCTTATGCAGTACATGACATAAATAGAGAAGATTATTTAGAAGATTCTGTGACTTCTTCTGATTCTTAGCATAGTCTTTAACTGGACTTTATATAGCAGTAATAATTATAAATGTAACATTTTGGTTTTTAAGTTCTTTTTTACATGTATTGGCATTTTACAAAAATCCGTGTAGATTACCATGTTTATCATTTTAAATATAGTATCCTACTGGGTGATCTTCTCTTAATAAATATTGTTTTTGGTTTTTATAGCCAGTGCCCACCTAATGATTCTCTGGAACTATAGTAGCAATTCAAAAGAGGCAGGATGGAGGTTGCATTGGTTGAAGAATGACCTTTTGAGTATTGTTGTGTTGTGGTTATGGTAACTGTCATAATCTGTTGTCCCCTTATTTTATTCTAGGATGTTTTTCTCTGGTGGGCAATATGGCCATTTAGGCAGACCTGAAGAAGTTTTGCTGACATTCAAGATATTCCTTATCATCATTTGTCTTCATGTTGTTTTGGTTACATCACTGAAAGGTAAGGTACCTGCTCTCCTTTTTTTTTGTTTACCTGCTTGTGTACATGTGTTTGTTTTTTGTTATTTAGAATCTTTTTACTATGGTAAAATGTATATAACATAAAATTTACGATTTTGACCATTTTTAAGTATATGGTTCATTGACATTTAGTACAATCACTATTTTGTGTAACTATCACCATTATGCAGAATGTTTTCATCATCCCAACTGGAAACTGTGTACTCATCAAACAACAGCTTCCTATCCTTCCACTCCCACTCCATAACTTCTATTCTTCTTGTCTTTATGAATTTGCCTATTCCAGGCACCTCATATAGGTGGAAACATAAAATATTTCTGCCTCTGTGTCTGACTTACTTCACTTAGCATAATGTGTTCAAGAGCTATTTATGTTGTAACTATATATCAGAATTTCACTCCTTTTAAAAGCTGAATAATATTCCATGTATGTATTACCACATTTTATTTATCTATTCATCATTCATCTGTTGACGGACATTTGGATTATTTCCACCTTTGGCTACTGTGAAAAATGCTGCTATGAACATGGATGTACAAATATTTGTTTGAGTCTCTTCTTTCAATTCTTTAGGGTATATACCTAGGAACTGTCAAATTGTTTTCCACAGTGGCTATACCATTTTAAATTTCTATAAACAAAGCACAAGGGTTCCAGTTTCTCCACATCCTTGACACCGTCTTGCTATTTTTTGTTGTTTTGATCACAGGTATAAAGTGGCATCTCATTATGGTTTTCATTTGCATTTCCTCAGTGATTAGTGATATCAGCATCTTTTCATGAAGTTATTGGTCATTTGTACATCTTCTTTGGAGAACTGTTGAATCAAATCGTTTGCCCATTTTTGAATTGAGTGTTCTTGTTATTGTTGACTTTTAAGAGTTTTATTAAACTATACTGTGGAAATTAATTCCTTATCAGATATGTGATTGCCAAATATTTTCTCTTATTCTGTGGGGCATTTTTTTCACTCTCTTAATAGTGTCCTCTTGTGCATAAAAGCTTCTAATTTTGGCAAGGTCTAATCTTTTTACTTCTGTTGTCTATGCTTTGGTGTCATATCCAAAAGAAAAACATTGCCAAATCTAATGTCAGGAATGTTTTCTTCTAAGAGTCTTATAGTCTTAGTTCTAATTTTTAGGCCTTTGATCCATTTAGAGTTAATTTTTGTGCCTTTGGGTGTCCAGTTTTCCCAGCACCATTTGTTGAAAAGACTGTCCTTTTCCCCTTTGAATGGTCTTGGTGTACCTTTACCCAAAATCATTGGCCAGATATATGAGGATTTATTCTGATGCTTATTTGTTTTTACAAGTATTTACTTGAAGATATTTCCAAGGTGTAGAGAATTAACCCAATGAAGCAGCATGGTATTTTCAGAAAGGGGAATCTTCAGAAGCTTTTGGTCTGACCAGGGTTTGGACTCAGGGTTCACATTTCCAAAGCAGGCACACTACTGCTTGAGCCATACCTCCTTAAAATGAATTCAGATTCTACTTTTTTTTTTTTGAGGCTGGGGCTTGAACTCAGGACTTCATGCTTGCAAAGCAGATGCTCTACTGCTTGAATCACACCTCCAGTCCCAAACAAGGGGAAAAGGTATTTGAAGAAGGCAGTTAAAAGGCCAAAAGTATGAGGGCTGCAATTTCCATGGGTATGACTGCCAGAAGAATACTGTGCTATGCAAATGTAAAGAATACTCATTAGGAATTAGAGTAGGAAATAAACGGTATTTAAGGAAACATTATTGAGAACACACAAGGAAACACCTTTCTTGTTGAGAAGAGGGTAGCAGGACCAAGGAATCTTTGTTGGATAAAACAAAATCTACTGGCAGCAAACAACATAAACAAACAAAACGCACACAAATACCCATACTTGTATGCAAAATAAATGAAAAACTTCCCAACAAGCTAAAACATGAGTGACAATCCTTCACGAACTTGACATGGGGCATGTTGTTATAGAGCCATAGTGCTTTAAAAAAATGATAGAAGCTTAGTGTGCACTGATGGCATTATGTGCCAGGATCCCACCTACTTCATACTTGTGCACTCAATACCCTCAAGGAGATCTATGAAGGAGGACAGGTCTTAGCCTTATCCCCACTTTCCAGATCAGGAAGCTGAGACTCACAGAAATAAGTAACTTGCCCAAGGTTGTTAGGAAGTGGCAGAGTTGAGATTTGAACCCAGGGGTCAGATTTACCTGGGAGGCTTTTTGAAATACAGATCACTGGGGCCTTGCCCCCCAGTATTTGTGGCTTAGTATTTGTGGGGGTGGGACCTGAGAAGTGACTTCTCTAACAAACTCCCTGGGGATGTCATGCAAGTAGTTTAGAGAACACACTTCAAGAACCACTGTTTACACAACTAGTGGAAGGCATAAACAAGGTGAGAATATGCTTCCTGATACGTATCATGGTATAAAAATTCTCTTGTGGCCATATGACATGCATATAAACTATGCTCACACATGTCATCTCTTTGAAGCATTGAAACATCACTGTGGGCTTGGCAGGGTAAAAATAAAGTGTCCCCACTTCACTGATGAGTAAATGTCCTCAAGGGACATTACTTGCTGGGAAGTGGCAAAGCCAGACAAGATGCCAGATCTTCAGTCTCATGTTTCAGTGCTTTTTTTCCACCACAGCGGTAGATGAGACAGGAAAATGGAGCACAAGCAAAACATTTCATGACAATGAAAGCTACTTGTTACAAATAACTCTTTTGAAAAAAATGATATTTAAATACGATGAGGAGTCAGGTAAATAGGAAAGCACATGGCTCAGAAGCAAACCTAAGTAGGGAAAAGCTGAGTAGGTGCTTAGAGTAGTTGCATGTATTTCTTGCTGTAGCTTTTTGGTTATGTTAGTTGATGTTCTGTTACTGAAACAAAATACCTTAAATAATCAACTTAAAAAGAGGAAAGGTTTATTTTTGCTCAGAGTTGCAGAGTTTTTAGTCTATGGTTGATTGGTCCCATTGCTTTTGAGCTTGTGTTGAGGCTGTACATGAAGGCAGGGAATGCACTGTGGTGGAAGCCCATTCAACTCATGGCAGAATGCAAAGAGAAAAAGGAAGAGGAAGGGACTGGGAAGTCCCATATCCTCTTCACAGATACTCCCCAATGAACTAACCTCCTACTAGCTCCTACCTCTTAAAGATTTTCACCACCTTCCAATAGCACCAAGTTGAAGACCAATCCTTTAACACATGGGCCTTTCAGGGTATTTCAGATTCAAACTATAGCACTGATGAGTTGGTTTCAAGCAGTGGTTCTTAACATGTGGCCCCCAGACAAGTAGCATCAGCTTCACCTTGAACTTACTAGAAGTGGAAAATCTAGGGCTAATCTCAGCCCAGCTGAATCAGAATCCTAGGGAGGAGCAGCATTCTGTGTCCCCAGTCGTCCAGGTGATGCTGGTGCATACTCAAGGGCAGAACCACTGGCTTAAAGCATTGGCTAACACATTATTGCTGGCAATGTGCTAGAGCAGAAAGCTGGCGAGACCAGGTATTAGAGTCATATACCCCCTCCCCCATCCAGCCCATGCCTACTGCCTGCTATGGGTATGATCTTGATTTGTCATTTAAGCCATATGAGGCTCTGTCTTATCTTCCCATGAGGGTAGCAATTATAATGCTCAACATATGTTAAAAAAACCAAAACTCAACTCATAAAGAAAGAGGTTTTTCTGAAGTAAGTGTTTTGACATCTTGAAAGGGCTAAATAGGAGTTTCTTGTTGTATCTCAGAACTACCAATAAGTATTATTCATTATTTAATGATCACTTTAATAGCACTCACCATGTGTCAGTTGCTGTTCTAAGCCCTTATAAGAAGCTGACTCATTTAATAAACTCACCCAAGAACCTTTTGAAATTGGCACTGTTAGTAGCTCATTTTACGGAGTAGGAAACAGACACAGGAGATAAGACCTTTCCCTAGGTCGAACAGCTTCAAAAGAGATTGCAGAATTGTGATTGCAACTTAGGCCCTCTGGTTACAAAGTTTATATGCTCTATACTGCACTACCTTTTGGCATTCTTAACCACTCTGTTGTGCTAAACTTTGTTGCTTGGTAGTGCATCTTTATATTAAAAATTAAGATGGAATCCATAATTCTAGGAATCACTGAATGTTGATGTAGATACCCAGGTGGCCAGAGCCACCAGCTCCCTGGAGAGCTTTTGGACTGAGGCCGGTCCTTTTTGGTTCAGGGTATCTTGGGTTTGATCTTTGATGAAGGCAGAAGGGACTGATTGCTACATGACATTGGCTATCAGTTGTGCAGTAATGGGTGCCTGCTGTGTGCTGAGCTGTCTTGGCTTCTGGGAGAACATCCTCTCTGATCCAAGGAATTTTAAACTCCATTTGGAGGAACATGCAGACAATACAAATAAAACTGAGTAGTAGTAAAGTGTGAGTCAATGCTGAAGGACTCTTAATACATGGCCTGTGACCAAATCCAGTTAAATGCTAAGCCCCCTATAGCAGATGCTGTTGATGCCTTCCCCGTACCCCCTTTGCCCACGCTGGAGGTCACCTGTGGACAGTTCCTATGGATGCTGATGGCTATCGTGTGTCTCTGACTGAGAATGATCTGTGCCTATACAATGCTCAGAGCTGTTTTTTGAGGGGTGAGGGTACTGGGGTTTAAACTGAGGACTTCATGCTTGCTAGACACTTGACCCCTTAAACCATACCTCCAAGCCCCTTTTTGCTTTAGTTATTTTTCAGATTGTGTCTTGAGTTTTTGCCCAGGTCCAGCCTCATATATAGATCCTCCTACCTATACCTTCTGAGTGGCTGGGCTTGCAGGTGTGTGTGATCTACCTTGCCAGGCTTATTTGTTTAAATGGGGGTCTCACTAACTTTTTGCCTGGGCTGGCCTTGAACCATGATCCTCCCAATCTCTGCCTCCCTAGTAGCTGTGATTACAGGTGTGAGCCACCACTGCACTGTCTCCCAGAGTTCTCC